TTTTATTGGTATTCCTTGTCGGACAACAACAAATGAGATTAATAATAAATTTCCATATCATTTATTAATTTCCGTATCATTTCCATTTTCATTTTATATATGTAATATATTTCTAGTTAAATGTTTATTTTTATTTATAAACCCAACCAGACGAGAAAACAAATAAATATCTCCTCCATAATAGTATAATTAACTTATTATTAGTTCAGGTTTATGTTAACGCTACAAGTTTGAAGAATGCCTTGACGGTAGAACCAAATATTGATAGCACTTGTTTATCAATAAATATTTAAATGGTCACGAGAATAATTAATGTTTACGCTCACATCGCCTCTAATTGTAATTGTTTTTGTTTTTTATATAAGCATAACATTCTGTGTATATTTTATTCATCTAGTAGTAATTGGAATTCCGCTACAATAATTATGTATTGTTTGTAAACAAGTTTTGTGTTTATTTCCAAAGACGGCATTCATCTTCCTCTGTGATTTCTCTTCAGTTAGCTACCGTTCTATGTATTTTTGTCGAAAAGGAGCTTCATAAGCTAAATAATAAAAATACATCAATTTTTTTAATAAGCTCACAGCGTCGCTGCCTTTGTATACGATCTGATGAGACAAACATACGAGCACGATTTTATTTGTAAACTGTTGATCACATAAATTATAATATTAATGAATGCATATCAATGTAAAACCAAGAAAAACCTTATAAAGAACAACCTAAAAAATTTGTCAATTGGAATGTTAGGCAAAGTATTATTATTTTTATTCTCACCTAGATTTTCTACTAACTACTACTGAAAACGAAAAACTTCAAAGCACGGCATATTGCAGTACTTTTGTATGTACCCATATCATTTAATTGGGGATCGATGTAAAAAATACGGTCATCAATAATAATGTTCAAGATACTCAAATTGTAATTTATTCAAAATTACCGCTTGTTACTATGTTACATATTGATAAATAATGGGAGTTAAAGATTCAAATTAATGCGCATAATTGTCATTATCATGACTGGTTTGAAGGCGTTACGCGTTGTTACACTATAGCTTCAATCAACAACAACTTGATTGTCCTTTCGTTATTTCATTTTAATGAAACAAACCTGATTTCAATGAGCAATATCCTTCATTATTCATTATTCCATCATCAAGAGAGATTTTTTTTTCACAACTACCCATCAAACTGTGAGTAGTTTAGGGTTTAGGTTTTAGGTATAAACCAATCGACTACTTATGACTTAAGTACTTACTCCTAGAATATCTTAATTTATCATTAACATACAAAATTATTAATAACAACGAGTGTCAATGAGACAAAAACACTACAACTTCATTTCCTCGTTCTTCTGTCTTTGGGTTGATTTATTGGGACTAGTTTTTCGCTTAAATCTTATTTTTATTTATGCTTATGTATGATGTATAAATTATTATTATTTTATGACTTACATTTAATTATGAAAATCATTATGATCGCGACATCTTAGTGACTATTAGGGTTTAAAGACGGCGCAATCCTCAATATACTCGTAAAACAATGCTTTTCAATCAGATGGCGAAAGTATTGTTTTATTATTAAGAAGTCTTAATAATACTCTCTTCTGTATTGTCAATTGCCATAACAATATAGATATAGATAATCTACAGCACTCTTCCCTGCAAAATTACAGACATAATAGTTTAATAAGCTCTTTTTTAATATAAGCTTGTGCCGAGCTAAATATATTTCCTTCCTTCCAAATTTTAAAGATATGAACAAAACATTTACATTTGACCTTTTGTGTGCTGTGTGTTCCCATTTGTTTTTATGTGATATATCCCTCCAAAATAAGCCTGCTAATAGTACATTGAAAAACGTTATCTATTTTTTATATATCTGTACAAGTATCTCATGTTACAATATAATGTGTTGTGTGCAACGTCTCTTATGAATCCTCGTATCTATTTATACGGGACCTTACGTATGAACTTTAACTTAATCGGCTTTCCTACTCCGATCCAATATCGGGCTTAGAAGCGCAAAAAAGCACTTGCCAAAGTCTGTAAATTTTATTAGCAGATAAAACAAATTCCCCCAGGGCGCTAGTACGCATGCATTCAGAGTTGTAACTTAAATCACTTCACGTGTTTAAATAAACGTGTCTGAATATAAATATTTCAAGCGCGCAGATTCCTTTACGACGTAATATACTATTAAATAATAATAAATGTACTATTAAGTAGTCAACAAAGATACACGTGTGTATTAAATTATACAAAAAAGGATAACACTATTGACTAGTATACTATTATAATTTTTGTGCAATTTAAATTATAACATATCAGTGTCTAAAGTTTACATTATATTACGAGTAATTGAAGAAATAAAAATTTTGGTATCAGTAATATTCAATATTACTATTAAGATTTTAACGATTCTGCCATATAACTTATATGTTCTGCCTGTGTTTGCGATAGGGAAGCCTAAGTAGTTAGTTTCCCGCAAGTGTTTCTACGAAATGTTTATTATTTCCGAATAAATATTTTTTCAATAAAGGTTAATACGGAAATGTCACCACTGCAAATGCATGTACGCTCGCTATTTATATCAGTTTTCCTTATGGCCTGTAGTACATAGTGTAGATGGCCTGAAATAATTTAATGTCACAATTGAAAATTTCAGTTTAGATAGCAAAACAGAGATAATGCAAAAAAAAAAAACAAAAAAAAATCTTGAGTGTCTCAGTAGAAGTAAGGAATATATTTTAAATTCCGTATTCGATCGATGTTTACGATTTTAACCAAATTTTCCTTAACACTTATGCACTAATTTTATAATAACCCATAACGTTACGAAAATACCGTAACAAATTCGCTCATAACTTTTTATTAACACTGCATAATTAAATCACTCACACTAAACTCAACTTCATTAACATTCAATAATAATTTGTAATAGAAAAGATTAAAATTGATTTTAATAATGAATACTTATTATTGTAATTTTTAGCAAATAAATACTTTTTCGAGCCTTATATGACTGTACAAATTTTAGTATCCGAACAATAAATAAAACATATATCTATGTTAACATTTATGGAATGTTAAATTTACTCATTTATAAATATGTAAATTAATAAATATATAAATTAATTTATAAATATACAATTATAAATTTATAAATATGTAAAACTTATGTATTTATTAACATATAAATTAACATATCGAAATGTAAATATTCAGAAAAACTCTAGCAAAGAACTAATTTTCGTCAGACGATGAATATTGGCAGCGATATGTAATCTTTTTTTATATAGTATTTGGCATATTTTAATTCTCGTCATAAATGAGTTAACTTATAAAGTCACACATTATTGAAGGCAATAGGCAAATACTTAACAGCAGACCATGATTCTGTTTAAAAAATAAAAATTATTGATTTAAAACGTAAGTGTCAACTTATCTTCCAAGACCATAACACTCGACCATATCTCTTCAAGAAAAATATTTAAAATTTACGTCACACAGGCAATAAACAATAACAATTACATTGCCAAGACAAATTCTTTCATAGGTAGAATTTTTATTTTATCTTTTTTTTGCAAAATGTTCCACTAGTCTTATCGTGTTTCCAGGAACTGTTTTTATAAGCCTTTGTCTACCTCTCCTGAATTATTCATACTACTACTACTAACTAATTAAACAAGTTGTACCTTTAATAAAATAACAAAAAACCAGGACCAGATAGAAGTATTAATAGTAATTAGTACTTCTATCTGGTCCTGGTTTTTTATAGAAGTGGTGATTTATAGACATAACTAGTAAGTTATGTCTATAAATCACCACTAAAAAATAAACAAATGTAAAATAATTATCAGTTGGAAGAATGTTGAATGATGTGGCAATTAAGGACAAATACCCCATTACACCCAAATCTTAAAGTCAATATTTAGATGACACAGAGGTTTAGCTGGGACTCGTTCATAGAATTTGAAGGCATATGAGCAACTTTAAAAGAATGTAACAAATAGCACATATTCTAGTAGGGTTCAACATTGCTTGCTGCGACATAATTATGTGGATAATACTATAAAATGATGACTCTGTGGCGCAGTTGCCAATGTTTCGGCTTCGACAACGTTCGATACCCACACGAGACAACTATTTGTGCGGCCGACAGATAGTTGCTTCGCAACTGGGTGTTTGTCCACGTGAAATTTATGTTTGTAAAACGTCCTTACAATAACATGGGCAATGTTATTCTAAAGTAAGGGCAATGTTTTTAAAAAATAAGAAAAAAAAACATTTAAGATAACTTAACTTAGATAAACTAAGCTACAGTTTAATAAATCAAAGAAAAGTTTTATTGAGTTCATTAGTACCCAAGATTACATTCGATATTATAAAAGAATATGTTAGCATAGCGTAAGGGGCAATAGCAGAAAATACCCTCCGCTCTAGTAAGAACTGCGGCAGAGCAGTATCACCATCCCGTTTGGTGATACACCAAATATAATATCATCATCAACGAGACAATTTATACACGTCGCCTTCTACTACGTAATAACGAATTTTGTGATTTGTAAGTTTTGATAGTGTATCATACAACAACAACCAAATTATTCGTCATGGGCTACGATTCCGCTTCGTTCTATGCCGTTATGGAGTGAAAGCTTATTATTCAAACTAGGTTTAAGTACTGGCTTACATAATTTTGATGCTATTAAATAATCTTCAGAATGATTTCAGTTAATCTACTTTACCAACTTTTACATCAATTTTCGTATTGATGGCAAAACAGGTCACAGCGCGAAAGAACCCTACGTAAGCGCAGTCGTAAAAAGAAACAACACGAAAAACGTAAACGTTCCAATGGAAACATCAACACAAACCTCTCGATTTATAGAAAAGGAATCATAACATTTCGATCAACGATCGATCGTGCATACATCGTGCCCTCTTACAAATCGATAAGTTAAAAGTAAATGCAACAAATAAATAATCAAACACCACGCACCCCTCAAAGTCAACTTGTATCGCGTGCGCTGTAACGGCGAAAATGCGCGCGAAATTCCGTCGGTTCACTTTATCGCGAGCGCCTCGCCGGCGGATGTGTCTTCCTCTCGGCGTGCGAGCATCAACTGTTCGTCCGCAGCGCACGCGCAGCGCAGGCCTGCTCTGATAACCGATAAGTGCCATGCCACGGGTAGAAATGCATTACGAAAACAATCCGAAACGTTGCACCCGCGAACCGCGCCGATTGAAGGAAGCCGCGCGTACTTTCAGCAGCAACCGTCGGACGAAATTGATTATTTTCCGCCGTTCCATTGCGTATCGCAGACGCGGGAGGACTTTCATCGAAATGTATGAACATTCCGATATTCTGAAATTTCCCATGTGCGAGTAAGCGACTGTGTAGTTCGCTTACACTGTTAGGGCAAGTGCACATTGCTGTTATATAGAGTATTATAGTTGAAGCCCATGATATCTATGTTCGTAATTAAAGCTTTAAAAACTATTCGGATATGATTGTTAAATAAAATTTTGAATACAAAACGTATTTAAACGCAACAAAATCTTAACTTGGTCAGTACTTACAGCCCCGAAAATATTTCATATTGAAATAGAAATGCAATTAGTTAATTACAGTTTTATGATTAATTTTTAAAAATAACATAATAATAATGCCACATAAATTAAATGAAAGAAATCACATTACTTATAAATAAAATGTAAGAAATATTATAAAGTACGCGGCTCATAATATGATGCTCATATATGTTATATAGACGGTTTTTAGCCATTATAAGAAGCTTAAAATGGACGAATTTGAATTCAACCAATCAACTAAACATACATATTTATTACTACAGCTTGAACACAATCTCCAAAAATTTGATATTTATATACAAACTTTTACAAAAAAAATATCTAATTGCCGAGAAACAATACCCTTTGTATTATAATCGTAAGGAAAAGGAATAACTGGTAAATCCAGCTGTAAACAGCAAATATGATTAATAAGTAATTTAGTGGAAAGATGCAGAAATACACAAAGCCAGATATTTATGAAACTGTTACTTTAAATATTAATTTACTATCGCATCGCGTTCAGAAAAATGGCATTCGATATCAGCTGCACCAATGCACTAGTTTTAACTACAAAAGAAAGGAATCGATACATAATTTTCCTATTTCAATGATAACCCGACACAAGAAATTAGCATACCATCAATAATTTTCAAGTGTTTCAGATTGATTAAGTTGTACTTCTGTCGGCGCGTTTCAAAAAATTATGAGCGCAAAATTTTCAATGTGCGCGCACACCGACTCTTAAAAATCGAAATGAAGCTTGGTAACCAATTTAATATTGAGAACTAATAAGAACTTTATCAATAATTCCAAGATATTTAGCAATAATTCCAAGTTATTAGAATAAACCGTTATCAATGGGATTTAATGGCTTAACGCTAGTGAAATATAACTTCATGCGTACGCACATAACAGATACTTTTTTTTGTTCTAACCCATGAGTGTAAATTAAATTCATTCTAAATCTTGCCTTATGTTGCGTTTGTTTGGCGCGTGCGTCCAATTTGAATAAAGGCGAGGCTCGCGAATCGGACGTGCTCGGGTTAGCTTTAAGTTTTTTTTATAGTTGTACAGTATGTTGCGAAAATGGTTAAAAAAGAAGACCATTGTGAAATTTTGCCCCAGTGTTTGCTGGATGATGTTTACAGAAATAAAGTCGTATCTAATTTCCAACTCATAAATCAACATTAGAGTCGAGGAAAAGTATTCAATAAAAATTCCTATAAAAAGTGAGGTCCTCAAATGAACTAACATATAAAAACAACTTGATTTTTCCTTTTTTAAAATGTCACTGGCAAGACATAATCATTATTGTAAAATATCTTAAAAACGAAGTAATTATAGACACACACGCATACGCACACACACGCACACGTACACATACGCACACGCGCACAGACACAATAATCTATTCTTGTATTTCTGTTTTCATGTATTTTTGTATCGTATTTTATAATTTATCTTAAGTTTACAGCCACTCTTGTTGATTATGATGAGGAATAAATGATTATTATGGTGGAATATTATTATTATTATTATATAAAAGTATGTCTATCAGTTTTCTAGCATCTATAGTACATTCGTTTCATTTTATTATTATTTATTATCTAGAAAGCTGAGTAATGCATCTTTTAAAATAATGCACCAAACACTTATTTATTAATCATAAACAGCTAAATATACCTAGCCGACTCAAAAGTCAAACGGTATAACGCAAAGCCGCACCCGATTATAATGTGTACACTCGTTTCGTTACGGCTAAAATGTATTTCATTCAATCGAAAATTGGCCCCGCGGTAATAATATAATTATAGAATTTGTGATCTCCTTTCCAGTTGTTACCCAATATCAGTGAGTGGTAACTTAAGAAAATTCGTTATTTGATTGAATTTCATATTATATGGTACCTATAAGTTGCAATTATTTAATTTAAATAATAACAAAACACTCGCACATACTCGTATATGCGACAGATATTATTGTTTCATCACAATTTCAATTTATTTGAACGTAAATGGTATAGGTTTTGTAATTTTTCACTGATAGCTCTCAACTTATTGCGGATGCTTACTTACTATTATACCTTCTTTATTGACGAAAAAGTAAACACTAGATAACGCCAAGTATTGCTAAGATCCTATAAAAAGAATGTAGATATAACGTTTTTCGCACAGCATGGATATCGGCCGCTTAGCTTAGCGCCTGGACTCGAAATCCGAAAGACGCAGGTTCAAATCCGGCCAAGGGTGAAATATTTTGTGAAAGTTTATAGTACGCAGTTTTATGTTTTAAATGAAAACCTCCTGAAGGCTGACTTTTATTAACCACCTTTATTACTGACAGGGACGTTCTCTTGATGTCAATGGATAAGGACCTCGGGATAGAAGAATCCTTCCCCTATTCCCTAACCGCCTTGCGGCTCCACAATACCATTTTGCCCCAGTGGACTAATAAAGTGAACGACCAAGACCCCACCCTGATCATCCGTGAACGAAGGGCCATTTTCGTCGCCTTTTATGACAGACTATAGTCCTCTCCCGATTTCGTCCAACGATAATTTTCTAGACCATGAGCTTTTCGCAGAATGAGACAATTGCCATACACAATGATTTCTCTGCCAGCACCTGTAACTGTTTAACCTTTTTTGTGTGTTAATGTGAAATGTTCCCAAACGAGCAGACGGTTCACCTGATGTTAAGTGAATACCGCCGCCCATAGACATCTGCTACACCCGAGGGTTTGCAGATGCGTTGACAACCTTTTTGGAAATTGGGCTCCGGCTACCATTAGGCTCTGTAACTGATGTAGAAAGGAAAAAGTTAATGTGTGTAAAAGTGTATGAGCTCTTTGAAGGAGTTCTGTATTGGATTTCAGGTTATGCTCCACATAGTTTGTAGTTAATTTCAGAGAGATTAATTCTGGATAACTCTGGAAAGTCAAATGTTACAAGTACCTTTATAATCTGGTAGTTCACCCAAACTTCTGAAGACTATTAAGAAGAGTACAGGAAAATACGGAACCCGTAAGATATGGAGCTGGGAAGCGCAAATTCCCAGAAATAAAATAATTATAGTATAAGCAATTACACATTAGTTTATAACCTCGCAAAGTAGCGTACACAGGATTCTTCAAGGTGTACAGCGTAATTAGGCTTTACAAGTTTGCGACGATTATGCAAGATACCCTTGATGTGTGTGACATCGTCGATAAATTGCAGGAGAAAAGGCTACGGTGGTATGCTGATGAAAAACTGGGGACGTCTGACTTTGTCGCCAATGGAATAAAAAAAGGAAGTGATCATTATTACAGTCACATTAAATGTAGGACCATGCAACAGTTTCGCACTTTTGCACTAATGGGCAGGTCCATCCGGGTAATATAACCTCACAGAAGACCGGCGTGAAGTGGAAATTAAATACTTCTGCGTTTCGTCTGGTAAGTGAGATAGCCGGGGCCCACTTCATTAAAAGGTGGCAACGTATCTACAACCCTACGAGTACTGCAAATGTCCATGGGCGGTGTTTATCACTTAACATCAGGTGAACCGCCAGATCGTGTTCCACCTACACACATAAAAATAAGATTAAACCATTTGCTTAACGTACCCTTTAGAAATGTTTTCTAAAGTAATTAAACACCAGCGGAATTCTTACACTAATGTAAAGTTGAAAAATTAACTTGAGTTACAGACCATTATTAAAATTACTTTATATTATCATGAAAAATCATTTTTCGATGCAGAAATAAAGAATTCTAACTCATTTATTATATCACGACAGTACGAGTAAAGTATGTTAGTATAGGTACTTACGAGTGCGTTGATAAATCACTGTGAATTACAACTCCAAAACTGTTATTAAATAAGATTACTAGAATAACGTTTTGCTTGCTATGTTACCGTGGGCAAAGGTCTCTTATTAAAATTATTCACGTGCCATAATGTGTGTTCGCAGTAGATAATTGTAGTTGGTATATTTAATTTTAATGTACACTGATTGCTTTAAGCATTTTTCACGTAACACATAAAAAAAGTATCCAATTAATTTATACCTGGAGAAACTAAGCAAATTACAAAATATTCATATAGACAAGATAGCAAAAGAGTGTTTTGAAATTTACAAATTTTCTGAGTTTATACTTGCGAAGTGTTGAAATGCACAAAAAATCGACCAGTAGATATCTACTTTTTTTTTTTGTGCATTTTGTGCATCGTAGGTCATCGCCGGTAGGACGTTCAACAACTGAGCGTTAGTCTAAAAGTATGTGCACACTTATTCGATATGCGGATTATTTCACTTTATTTTTCATATTATGAACACTCACGGAGCCGAAACGTGGACGCTCACCGTGGGTCTGGCTGAAGGTTGCTCAGCGTGTGCTGGAATGCTCAATGCTTGGGGTTTCTCTGACAGACAAGATTCAAATCGAATTCATTCGCCAGAGAACTAAAGTTACCGACATTGCGCGCAGAATTAGCACGCTGACGTGGAAGTGGCCATGCCTCCGTGTGATCCTCCGCATACCAGTCGTACTGATGGGCGCTGGAGCCGACACGTGTTAAAGTGGACACCGCGATTAGGTAAACGTAGTGTGGGACGGCCTGCTGC